CTTCCTTCCTTCCTTCCTTCCTTCCTTCCTTCCTTCCTTTCTTTCCTTCTTTCTTTACTTACTTACTTACTTACTTACTTACTTATTACATTTCCCCCCCGCCTATCTCCCCCCAACATTAAAACCATAAATATATATAAATACATAAAACATCAATTTAAGGCTGTATATTATAGCCTGTCTTGCCTTAGCAAGGAGCTGGCTAGCAAAAGTTAAAATGTGTCCCCTGCCTCCAGATGTGTTGGGGTCACATATCCCAAAATGCTGGGAATGCTGAATTAAAACAGTAATGTATCCACTTAAAAACAGATGGATAACAGTAACATACTGTAAAGTATCAGAGCCATGAAAACAAGGGAGCTTTATAATGCAAACTAGCCTTACAAATAAAATTAACCACAGCAGTTAAATCCACGTTAGGAAGAATGCAGCCATTTAGGACTTGAACCCTCACCCAATGTAAGGCTAGTGGAGCGAAGAGGGAGAAGACCACCTTTGCCAAGAGGGTGCTCCAAGTCCAGGGTACAATGGCTGAGGAGACCTTCTCGGTTTCAGTGAGGCAGGTGTTTGAAAAGAGGGTTGAACTAGGTGATCTCCAAGACCCCTTCCAACTCTCCATTCTGTGAGGACATCCAAGAAGATGGGAGGGGGTGGGTGGTTTGGGAGAAGGAGGCCTTCAGAGAGTCCAGCGCTGATGTGAATGGCTCTCGCTCCTCCTCCATATGTGCTCAATGTTTTCTGTTCCTTTTTGATCTGGTTGCAGCTGTTGGCTTATTTTATTTGCCAGTCATCTCTGAAGTGCTCAGAGGCCATGGGAGGGGGTAACCATGACTCTCCTATTTGCCCTAGCTGTGCCCCCTTCCCCCAGATCTATGTAATCGCCACATTGACACAGCACCCTGTGTCATAACTGGACAACCATATTTTATTCATTGATGTATAAAATGTATTGACGGCCTCAACCCCAAAGGACTCTAGGCAGCCCCCAATTCAAAATATACTAACACAATTAAAATATATTCTAATGCACATTTGCATCCTAGCATGTTGTGTGAACCCAAGTGCTGTAATTAGTTGATGGTCTAATTATGACAATTATGTGCTATCAGGTCAGTATTGATTCTTAGCAATCACATAGGTCAGTGTTGTCCAAACTTGGCCACTTTAAGATGAGTGGACTTCAACATGGCTGACTGGGGAATTCTGGGAGTT